TGAGCGAAATAAGTCAGGCAGAGAAGGACAAATACCATATGTTTGCACGTATAGGAGGATTAGGAGGAACTTGACGGAGGACCAAGGGGGAGAAGAAGGGCGGAAATGGTGGGGGAAAGGGAGAGAGGCAAACCATGAGAGACTCTTGAATGCTGACAAAAACTGAGGACTGATGGATGTGGAGGGGAGGGGGGGATGGGCATGAAGGAGGGCACTTTGGGGATGAGCACTGAGTGTTATGTAGAAACTAATTTGACAATAAACTATTTGTAAAAAAAAAAATAAAATAAAATAAAATAAAAAAAAAACATAAGCTTAAGTGTACTGGGAAACAGTCAAATCTGTAAAATAAAATTCACTATTACATACTAGTAACTATTCTATTGCATAAAAGTTTTAGCTATATACAGTGAATCTTTCCATATAGCCCACCAAGTAAGAATCTAAATGCCTTTAACAGAAATAAATAGGATATGCTCTAAATTATTTATTCAAAACATATAGTTGGCTACACAAACTGAGATTTATCTAACTGACTTCATCCTTGAGAACATATTAGACAATCCCATCAATATTCAAAGAGACAATGAGCAGGAAGGCGGGATGATGAAAAAGTACATCTACCAGTTGACAAGCACTGGTCCAGCCCATAGGATGATTTTTGCATGTTGAATACAACTTATACTATTACTATTGCTCTTACTAAACTAAAAAATGGAAATTCCTTTTTTTATCTTTGAAAAATGGGTTTGCTTTATAAGTAAAAAGAAGCAATTATTATAGCTGTGTGTTTTTCACATCAATGCCTCAAGAAATAGTGGATGTTTTCAGTACAAATTTCTATTGTGGATTTAGTATAATGGTTTTCAATCCTGTTTTTCTTTTAACATCCCAGTGTATAACAGTCACATTCATTAGTAATAGAAGCTCACTAAGACTATGGTTCTCAAATGTGGAGAGTAGATTGTGGATCGGCAAGAAGATTTAAGAACCCCTGAGGAAGGTTGTTTACTCTGGAAAAAGAAATTTGGAAAGGCTGAAATTCTTACTCATTAAGAAGCTGGAGTAGCAAGGTGGATAATTTCCCATAAGGAAGTCTATTTCCCATTTAAATGTGAAAATTACTAGCATCAGTAGGATTATTCTATAAATTTCCCCATCTCCATCCACAGTCCTTATGCCCATGTAAAGATAATTATTAGCTTCCTATGCCAATTATTTGTGCAGCTTTGTTAATAATAACAGAATATCTGTCATTTTGAATAGAATACAAAACATTGATACAAGAAGTTGCAAGCGCTGTGGCTTAGTATTCATTCTTCCTTCAGAATATGAAACAAACATTCATTGTAGTCTAAGCTATGGAGACATTCCTCTACATTTTGATATTTTACAGACACAGGTAAATTATGTTCTTCATTTAAACAAGTTAATAAGCTTACCTAGGGTAGCCAAAAAATATACTCAATCATACTTTAATATTTCTTTTGCTAAAAAGCACTCTATGCCACTAGTGAACAGACCAAGCCCTTACATTACTTGTCTTCAATAAAACATTATTATCTTTTGGCATCCCCTTGTACTATGGGAAATAAAAAGTCACATGTGGAGAAGTTCTAAATTCTAGACAGAAATGATCCTTGGAGGGCAATTTTTATCCTCCACGGAAGTATTGCAGACTTCTTCCATTAGCAGAGTCCCGGGGAGCAAAAGGTTAGGGAACCGGGACTGCCAACTCTACCTGAACACATAAGTCAACATTTCCGCCAAGCAGCGAGGGAGTGTGAGAGTGCACCCACATGTGCATTAAAGTATCTGAGACGAGAAACAACAATTGTAATATTTGACATTGGAATATACTGTACAGATGGTGACATTTTGTTTGTGGCTGTAGAGAAGAAAGTAAGGCAGTTTCCAGATCCCCCCCCCCCCCGCCAACACCTACCATTTGGCATTGGATATGGGAGGTTGAAGAAAACGGAGGGAGTTTTGCCTCCGTTGAAACAGCTGGGAAACAGATGGAAGCTGCTGTGCAATTTGCCAAAAGCCTTGTCCAAGTCTTCCACCCATTTTCCACCAAAGAAAAGCTAGTCAGGTGACGGTAGTAGAAGCCTCAGGGTCAGCAATGATGGGCTTCAGGAAGTGCAACAAAAAAATTAATCAAAGATTATAGTAAATACAAGTCCAGAATTGTAGTCCCAAGGAACATGTTTTCAATAAGACAGAAAACGTGGGAGCAAACCTGGTGAAAACCACAAGAGAATCACAGATACACAGATGAAACTGTCCACAGAATTAATTGACATTGGTGCTGCCTCAATTACAATGACATCCTCTCTCTTAGGTGATGAATTAAGGAAACACACACTCACTCTTTATCATGTTAGTTACAGTTTAATTAATCCATGTATGATTATGGTAAATTTAAGTATGCACAGTTCATATTGTTTTAGTCACTGGATTTTGCTAGGAGCTACTTTGGTTTGGAACTCAAGCATTCAATAAATTGCTTTTGGATTTAAATTTTGAATTATAGCCAGACTTTTGTTTAAATTCAGTCACTGAATGTATAAACCTCCTGTTGTATATTTCTAGTTAGAATGGGCATGTATATAGATTGACTCCAAATGATCATTCTTATAAGCATTGGACCAAGTTTTGTGTGCTTATTTGTGTGTGTGTGTGTGTGTGTGTGTGTGTGTGTGTGTGTGTATTGGTTTTTAAGTACTTTTGAATACTACAAAAGTTAAAGTATTTCAAAAATATATATAAATTGATAGGCTCTCCTCATTGTGAATTTGTTCATTCATGCTTATATAAGGGACTGTGTTAACCATGAATCATTCAAATTGAACTGCTCATGAGAAAAAATGTTCTGGCTTTGCTGTCAGTTTCCAGAGTTGCTTTACTGAAAGGAAAAGAGTATTGTCCCCATATAAAGAATAATTAACTGCAGATTTCAGACTGAGTATAGATCCAAATTGGCAATAAAAGTTTTAATTCATGTGAGGACATAGATCCTGTGAGAGGGACTTATCTGAATATTCTGGGCTGTGACTGAGTTTCCAGTCTGCCAGGATGAAACATGGAGAAATTAAATTTAAAAAATTCAGTCATCAAGAAGATTTGCTCACACAGAAGAGCTAAATGCTCCAAAGATGAAGAGGTTGGTAGATCTGTGGCTTTAAAAAAAAAAAGTGGATGATGGACTACTCGTTCCACTTATTATACAACTTATATATGATCCTAGTGGCTTACTCTAAAGTACAGCCTGTATGTGACGTATCACAAACCACTTTTGCCTTGGATAAAGCCCTGCCTGCTCTAGCAAGGTAGGGAGCCAGTCAACACAGGGGTAAGTGATAAGCCTAGAAATCTGAGGAATTTCTGACTGTGCCACCGCATCAGTGAATCATACTCTGATTCTTCAGAAGACAAGTAATGACCAGTGTGCCAAAATTTTGATGCAGGCTTTGTGTAACTGCTGCTACTGCTGGACCTACACAGCTTTGCAGCTAGCCAAACAAGATTCTAGAAAGAGTCAGAACTAAACTGTTTTACATTAGAACACCTTGTCTAGTGGATTGCCATTATGCAGGGCTCTCTTGACTTCATTAGACTTAGCAGCCAGACATTAAAGAACACATAAAAGAGCATATACTAGTGTCTCTCTCTCTCTCTCTCTCTCTCTATATATATATATATGTATATATACACACACACTAAATACTAATTATATATATATAGTACTTAGCATATTTAAATACAGACATATATATGCATATACTACTTAGCATATTTAAGCATCATTGAATGAAGAAACAAATGTTGCCGAAAAGGATCTTTCCCAAAGTATACCATATTACCTTTGTCAATTTAAAAAATAAAATGTCACTCTTTGTAATCTTTGATTAACCATCATTTTCCTATATTCTCTCATTTGGGCTCAAGAAGAATTTGTTGTACTTCCACCTGATGAAGACATCACAATTTGTGTGTGTATGCTCAAAAATAGAGAACTGAAGTGATTTTTAAGAGAGCACAAACACACCACTTTACCTTGATTATGTTGGTATTTCCCTGAAGATAGATTCGACATGAATTACTAGAACTGGTACAATGATCTGTTATTGGTTTATGTTAATTTTTTTCCATTATAGGCACACATTCTGTTATTCAGTATATTAAGAATATATTCTAACATACATCTCAGGGATATGATAAGGATAAGTGAAATACCGTATTTTAATTATGTCTAAACTCCTAGAAAAAAGGATGGAATAATATGCCCTAAATTATTATTATTTCTACATGGCATTATAAGATTTGGTGTTTGGATAGCTTTGGTTAGGTGTTGTACATCTTATGTGTATTTCATATATAATGAAAAAACAAAAAACTTTTTATATTTTGAATTATATGAACACAATTTTATTTATAGACCCCACATTGGAATATGTATTATACAAAATAAAAGAATAGCAATGCTATTGTCCTTGAAGAAGCTGAACTTAAATAGAAATTAGAAGGTCAGTAAACCATACTCATATGTATGCTTTGTCTGAACTTGAAATGACTCTTATGGCCCAGTTGCTAAAAATTTCAATTGCTTAAGTGTTCATATACTAAATCAACACTTCTTTTAGGAATTAAAAAATTTAATCATACTTAGATCCCAACTATATATATGTTAAACTTATTAGACACAATTTTATATCTAAAATTATTTTCTAGAAATGGTTTATCTTATATATTGGTCTTTTTATTATAATAGCATATTAAGAGCAGTTAAATTTTTTGTTCATATTTTGGACATTAGGTTGTGAGTCACATGAGAGCAGATTGAAAAAAAGAAATGTATCTTATCCTGTTGTGAGATTAGTCTTAACTATCTTTGCTCTATTTTTCCCATGTCTAACATAGTACCTGATAAAATTAGTTACTCAATAAATGCTTCTGGTATGAAGGATGTGATTGAATGCTTTTTTTTTTTTTTTCAGATTCCCAGGAAGGAAACTATAAGTCAGAAGTCAATAGCAAACCCAGGAAGGAAAGGACAGCTTTTACCAAAGAGCAAATCAGAGAACTTGAAGCAGAATTTGCCCATCATAATTATCTGACCAGACTGAGGCGATATGAGATAGCAGTGAATCTGGATCTCACTGAAAGACAGGTAAAGTTGGACATTGATGTGATTGTGGTATTTTTAATTGCGTTGAATCAACAATCTTCTCTTGCCGTTTTTGAAATAACTAGATTTGTGGTTCTTAAATACCATATGGAAGACAGGTGCTGTATTCCATGATGATGTTTGGGCCCAGCAGAATGACAAAATTAAGGATAAAATAGCAGTGTTTTAAGAAAAACTACATCTATCCAGTTTAAGGAATCATTCTTTATTCTGTAATTGTTTTTAAAGTACTGTCTCTTGTATATAATAATAACATATAGTGAGCAATTTTGTTTGCTTAAATTTTAAAATCTCCTTATTTGCTATAGTAGAAAGCTGGAAACCTCGTGTTAGTTTCCTCTACTGCTCAGTACAGGGTTTGCTATGTTACCATAACACATTAACCCCCAAACCTCAATGACAAAACAAAAATGCTCACTATTTGCTCACTCGCCATACTTACAAGTCCAGCATTACAAACAATCACTCACAGACCCAGTCTGACTCTCTGGCATCTCGACATGTGGTGTCCTTAGTAACCACAGGAGGTAAGAAAGAGTTGGAGGTTCATGCATTGACCTTTAAATGTTTTCACCTGGAAATGACCCATGTCACTTCCATTTATACTCTAAGGTCCGGAAATCATCAGTAGTGCCAGTTAAGTTCATGGGGGTTGGGAAATGATGAGAGCAAGGGCATGTAGATTATTGGTAAATATTTCCCAAGTATTTAAAAAATTATATTGGTCTAAAAAATCTAAAAATTCTGACACCAACTCAGAAAATGCTGAAATTATTAATGATCTTTCTACCCCAGGGGATAAAACCTAAAAAATACTTTTTAATTAATTACATTTTGGGTTCTTTCTTAGATTTTATTTGCTCCAGTAGTGCTGCCAGTGCATTCTTTTTATGGATCTTGATTTGCCCTGGGAGAATCTAGCCTACTGATGGTCAACAGTTGCTAATCTTTAGAAAAACATTCCTGAAAGGCAAATCCAAACAACTTTATGGATAGTGCAGTTATGATTGGCACTCCTAGGAGTAGAGTCTCATTTCCTCTTTCACTGTGTACACCTCCTCCAGGGATCCCATCGGAACCAAAGAAATACCAACAGGGTGTGGACAAATGAATACAATCTTAGGAGAACAAGTTATTTTATCCAATTTCTTAAATCATCTGTTTTCCTTCTGCTAAATTCCTATGCTTCAACTTTTCGTGGGATATTTCTGGATAGTGGGAATATATAAAGAAATACTTTTATGTGGTTTTATTTATTAGCAGTTTATATTTTATTAAATATTTTGACTAATGCCTACTTTGTGAAACACAACATTCTCCTTCCCTTGAACTTCACATACAAAATTCCCTCTGTAAGTGTCCAACATTTGGCATGCAAGAAAGGAGAATCCAAAATCTTCATTATCAGATATCTGGTTTTTTTTTTTCCATTTATTAAAGAAAAACACTGGGACCATATAGAGGAGAGGAGGAATTACAGGTTGATGTCTTCATATATAGATAGTGAATTCTAAAAAATGCAACCATGTTTTATATGATACATAAAAGAAACAAACAAGGATTTGCTTCCAAGGTACCACAATAATGGTACCTTAGTACTATAATTCCCTTAGTCAAGAAAAAAGTCAAGGTTCTGTTCTTGGTACTCCAAACATAGCTATGGTTATCTGTGGTTATTTTATTATAAAGGAGAAGGTTCACCTTTGGTTTAGAATAATTCATTTTAGAAGCAATTCTGTAAATTTGACCTGGCAATTTTGAAGTTCTTTTGGATATTTCATATTATTCGTGAGTTGTCATTCTTGATAAAGAGTGATATGTAATTATATGCGTAATTATACACACACAGTAAAAAATATTTTTAATGTTTATTTTTGAGAGAGAGAGTGCAAGCTGGGGTGGGACAGAGAGAGAGAGAGGGAGACACAGAATCATAAGCAGGCTCCAGGTTCCGAGCTGTCAGCACAGAGCCTGATGTTGGGGCTTGAACTCATGAACTGTGAGATCACGACCTGAGCTGAAGTCGGATCCTTAACTGACTGAGCCACCTATCCCCCCCCATTTTAATCTTTGGATTTTCTTTTTTTTAAGGTCCCCTATCAGTTAGCTTTTTCTAGGTAATAAAGCACTCAAAAATTTTAGTGGCTTCAACCAATAACCAATATTTAATTTGCTCACAATTTTGTGAGTCAGGGATTTTGACTGAGCTCAATTGGATTGTTATACTGCTAGGCTTACCTAGATCTCATAGAGCTATAGTCACCTTATGAGTTTGAAGAGCAGTTGGTGTACACAGCCTCAGCTGGGACAGCTTGTCTCTGTTGTGTGTGGTTCCATCTTTTTTTAATAGGGTCCTGGGTCTTTTCAGATGGTGGTAGAAGCATTCCCAGGAATAGAAGAAAAACTTCAATGTACAAGGGCTTTCATAGTGTCTCCTAACCTCATATTTACTAATGCTTCATTGTCTAAAGCAAGTCATATGACCAAACTCAGTGTCTGTGTAGAAGGAGACAATATAGAAGAATGTATACATGGAAGGAAGGCAATGTTTGTTGGAGGCCATTACTGAAACAATCTAACTATAGCTTTGTAGGGGGAAAATAATTTAAAAAATAAATAAATTGAGATATAACGGGGCTTGCAAAAAACTGCAATTTGGTTTTGTGCATTTTTTAATCCTATAAACTGTATTTACAATTTTGCAAGTTAATATGAAAAGGAGATGTATCATGTGGAATCCAAATTCCCAATCAAAATTAAGTTGTTAGGTATGTCTGTATGGCTTGGTTGGTTGAGAATCTGATTTGTTATTTTGACTCAAGTCATGATCCCAGGGTCATGAGATAAAGCCTTGTGCTGGACTCTACACTGAGCTTGGGGCATGTTTAAGATTCTTTCTCTCTTTTCCTTTACCCCTCTCCCTGGCTTGCATGCTTTTTTTTCTCTCAATAACAACAAAAAATTAAGTTTTTACTGGGCCATTATTTATTAGAGAGAAAAAATTGAATTATTACGATAAAAATTTGAAGAGAAATATTAGATTGTCCAGTTGGAATTGTGTATTCTTAGGCAGGTAACAATGTCCCTAAGGCACAAAATGGAAATTAAAACTACCTTCTTGGGGCACCTGTGTGGCTCAGTTGATTAAGTGTCCAAATCTTGATCTCAGTTCACGTCTTGATCTCAGGGTTCTGAGTTCAAGCCCTGCATTGGGCTCCACACTGAGTGTGAAGCCTGCTTAAAAAAACAAAACAAAAAACAAGCAAACTATCTTCTATTGTTTCTACTCAGGTCTGTATGTCATAATAAATATGACAGTATTTCTAGCATAAACTATAAAACACAACTGCCAACCAGAGGGGCGAAAAATCTTTGCCATGCAAGACATAGTGAATTGATTATTTTGTAATACAAATATTTGTTGAGCTAGATGCTAGAAATTAAATCTTGCTAAAATAAGCTAGACAAATCTCTGCTAGAACTCATGGAAGGGCAAAAATCGAACAAGTATTAACAACTGTGATGAGTGTTGAATGTCACAAAAGACGAATGCCAGGGTTGTATGGGAAAAAGTTCCTGGTTATGCCAGATGTTCATTTTATTCCTAGACTTCTGTGCACATGTAGTATCTTATTTTTTTTAATGTTTTATATATTTCTGAGAGAGAGAGAGAGAGAACGCGTGAGCAGGGGAGGATCAGAGAGAGAGGGAGACACAGAATCTGAAATAGGCTCCAGGCTCTGAGCTGGCTGTCAGCACAGAGCCTGATGCGGGGCTCAAACCCACAAACCGTGAGATTATGACCTGAGCCGAAGTTGGATGCTTAACTGACTGTACCACCCAGGTGCCCCTGTAGTATCTTAAATTGGGAATCTAAAGGCTTTACTTATGTTCTCTGGGATGAATTTTACTATGCTAAGTTTATCAGAAAAATATTGTATACTGTCAGTCATCAATTTTGCTATTCTTAAAGGTCTGAAAACTTCTTCCAAGATGCCAGCACTCTTGTCCCAGTGAGATATTTTCAGCTTATTTTCCTCAAAGTTGGCCTTTTAAACTTAAAAACATAGAATTATAAACTGAGCCCATTTCATTCATCTTCTTTTAATTGTTTTACAGTAATTCTATTACTTTGATTTTGAATTAATGCTATACATGCCTATCTGTGTAATCTATATCCTAACACTATATATTCTTGAATAATACCCCATTTATAAGATTTCCAGATGTAAAATATTCTAATTACAGACATGTACTTTTTTCATTTCCATTCTGCAAGATTTATCTTTCCATACTTTAAAATAACCTGAGACTTATATCTAACTCCATATTGTTCAGTGTTTTCCTTAACTTTAATAGAATTTTCAATCTCCTAAAATATTTTTCTTGACTTTATAAAAGCATTTAAAGACATAAATGCAAAGGTAGAACTCATAGGTATATGATGTAAAGGGAAAAATAAATATTAAATAAGCTATAACAATTTATGGCAGAATTGTTGTAAAGAAATAACTTTCTCCTAAATGGAAACTTACTTTATAATCAGAAGTAGTCTTTAGATGTATTTTCATGTAAGAATTTTATATAATCGCCTATGAAATAAACATATGTATAACTGATAAGTTATTTGTATATACTCCTACCTTGCTTAGTGATATAAATCACTAATCAATATATTTGCTACATTTTATTATAGGCCACATACACGTAATTATAAAGATTTGCTATGACGATTAGATTTCCCTTAAGGAAAAAAGTAATATATGTTAAATCTTTAATATCACTCAGGACTTGAATTTTCAACCGCCCACCTGAAGAATAGTTCTGAAATCTCACAAAGAAGTCAGATTCTTATGTTAGTGTCTTTACAGTGCCTTTGTAGGTCAAGGGAACCTATAATCCCCTTTGAACTCCATCTGGCCAAAGAAGCAAAAGAAGAGGCTCATTCTGCAATGTAATTTCACATTAGCACATAGGTATTA